CACCACATACTGGAACATGCAGCTCACCAGGAAGGAGGGGACTGTAATCCCCAGACCACTGGGTAGTGGCAGAGGGCAGGTGCAGTTGGAAGTGACACTGTGTTTCCCTGCACCCCCCTGAGGTCACAGGTCTCTGAGTCAGCTGGGATGCCATCCTTTTGGCCTTTCGATGGTGCTACCAAGAGGGGTTGGGGTTCAGCCCTGATGCAGGCTGCCCTCAGATCTAAAGGAATCAGAAGGCCAGGCAGGTGAGGTAACTGGGGGTAGGGGAGCCTGGGCTTGGGGAGGAGGGAGTGTGGAGTTCAAGTGTCCTTGCCCAGGTCTGGGGGATGTGCCTTCTCACCTCTTCCTGGGAAGGCCCTGCTCAAGGTGGAAGGAGGCCAGGAAGGAGGGTCTTCTGTTCCACACACTTGAAAGTAGGTCTGTTCTTTGGACTGCTGGCTGGGAGGATGAAGGCAACCAGAGAGGACACACATATACCCACAAACACTGGGTAATTTGCTCAAACTAGAGAGGGATGGGACGAAGGCTCCAGAAATATGATGGGGATATGGGTTAAAGTCACTTGTATAAAGGCAGGGCTAGCCTCCTGGGGCACTGGTAGCCCATAGGCTGGACCTCTGTGCCACCCACTCCAGCTCTGCCACCTCTGATGCCTCTTAACCCAGTGAGTTCCTTCCACCTTTTCAAAGCCCGTGTTTGCAGGAAGTTCCTGGGACCCAGCTCCAGGGTGAGCATGAGTGACAGTGTGCAGAGGGTCAAGCTTGGGCAGACCTATTATGGAATCTGGGCCCTGAGGTCTCTTTCCTGTGCCTACAGCAGAGGAGCCAGATTGGGAGGGGTGTGTGTGTGTGTGTAGTTTGACCAACAGCGAACAGTACACATGTAAATATAAAGGCCTTTCTACTGATTCCCAGGCCCAATCAACCTTTCTCCAGGGAGATTTTGTCACCCCAACTTCTATCTGCCTCCCCCACTTCCTCCCTCCCCTGCCCTTAGAGGGTCATTAGTGGTTCCAGCATCTGAGCTGGGCGGACGGGGCAGATGTCCCTCACCGTTCCAGGCAGGCCTAGCCCTGTGTAGCTCAGAAGCACCCCAGAGGAGAAGGGGACTGCCCTCCCAGGGAGCACACTGGGGAAGCAGCCAGGCACATGCTGGGCTGTGCTGAGGTCAAGGGAAGAGGGCTGTGTGTGTCAAGGGCATGGCTGGGGGTCCCTGGGGGATGAGTGAGACTAAGGAAGAGGAAGGAGACTGGTGAGAAAGCATGGATGTTTGGAGACCATGCCAGGCTGAAAGGAAGACCAATTTTTAGGCCATAATTGTTCTTGAATCTAAAAGCAGCCTGAGCAGGGTAGAAGGGCATATAATTAGGTGTGTGTTTGGTACGTCTCACTGTGGTTAAGTGGAGAATGGAAGGAGGGTGGTGGGGATGGTGGGCAGATGGGTCAGGGGCAGTAGGGACAGCAGCTGGATTGGAGAAAGTCCTTGGAAAACACTTCCCAGGAAGGGGACCAGAGACTAATCCCTTAAAGGTCTTTGTCCTTAAACCTGAAAACAAAACAAGGAGGCTTGGGATGCAGGGTTTAGTGTGGTAATAAACCACAGGAGACTTGATTGTTAATGATGTGCCTAATCACAGTGCTGAGGACTTCTGCAAAACCGAACTGACACGGTAATGAGAGCAAGAGTGCATTTCACAGTCAAAGCATGGAGGCATCTATCCCCCTCCTCCAGCTCCACTGGCCTCACCTCACTTGCTGGTACAGCTGAGGGGACAGGCTGGTTTGGGACCTGGAGGAGCAGACAGGGCTAAGATTATTCTGAAGCCTCCCCAGGTTGATGCTAAAGAAACCATTGAGGGATAGGGGAAAGTTTGGATAGATTCAGTTTGGGAGCACTTGGTGTATGCTGTATTTTCATGATTTCAACTAATCTTCACAATTATGGACAGAGCACAGACGAACAAACAGGATCCGGAAGCTGAAGCACTTTAGCCAAGGAGAGTGGTAGGCAGGACCCTGAGCCCTGGCAGCTGCCCCCAGAGGCTGTGATCTCTGTGTTCTCTGCTACGCAGCCAGGAGCTGGGGCACTGTGGCCCATAGACGCTGGCCTTCTTTGGGTGTTCCCTTTAGCCCCTGAAGGGACTCCTGCCCTCCTCTGGGAGTCATGGTTGCTTGGGGCCGGGGGCAAGTGTAGAACCAGATGCTGGGAAGGCAGGACTGTCAAGTGGGGTGGCCCCATGGGGATAGGGGGAAAACTAGCACCATTACCACCACCAGCACCACTACCTCCCCTCTGGGCCTCCTGTCCTGCTCCACTGACTGTCCTCCAGGCTAATCTGCCATGGTCCCCCCACCCCTTCCCCAGGGATAAGCCCAAGCTCCTTATCTGGGTTATGAACTGGTGTGACCTGGCCCTGACTTGCAGTCTGGCGCTCCCCACCCGTTTCCCTTCATGCTGGCTAGGAGGAAACTGCGGGCATCTTGCCCTTCACCCTGGTCATGCTCCTGCCCTCTCTGCCTCGGTGCTCCCCAGCTGCAGTCAGGCAACTTCTCCCTCACCCTGACCTCGTTGGAGTCACCTGTGAAGGGTCCTGCACCCCACCTGGAGCTCTCAAGAGCATGTGATTTCACTCCCATTTTCATGCCTGGTATCATGCAGGCCCTGCAGCAGGGAGGGTTGAGTCCCTCAGGCCTGGGAATTCATCCCAGCTCCTCATACGCTATGATCTTAGACCAAAGGCCTTTCTAGGAGGCTGGTTCCCCAGAGTCCTGGTTCCCACAGTGCAAGGGACTCTCATGTGCAGGTAGTCCATGGGCCCCTGAGGTCATGAAATGGACTTTCTGGCTTTGACGTGGATAAAGGGAGGTGCTTGTCCTGGGGTCAGTGCTGGTAGCTGGCTCCAGCGGGAGGGCTGAGGAGGCTCCACACAGCAGCCTTCCAGGGCAGGCAGCTGGAGATTTGAGCACCTTTTAGAACACAGACTGTGTCCTTGAAACTGTCTTTCAAACCACCCATGAGAGGCTCCTGCTAAACCCAACCCTTGCGCAGCTGCAGTGAGTCCACAGATAGGCCAGCCAGCAAAGGGCTGGTGTGCTGCTGGAGGCAAGGCCACCAAGAGAGATGAGCTGACCTCTGCTACAAACAAAGGGGCTAGGGAGGTAGGTCTCCTGGGGACAGCCCTGCTGAGCAGTGAGGACTGAGGAAGGAGGCAGGTGGATGGTACAGACAGGTACTGGCACTGGAGAAAGGAATAGCCCAGGACTGGGTTGGAGCAGCTGGCTTTGAGGGCAGGTAGCACCTAAAGTGAGCCTCAAGAAGGAAGAAGTGGCTGTAGGAGGAGGAATGAGTGGCCAAGTATGGCGCTTAGGAGGAACAAGCCATAGCCACGTGATGGCAGGAGATTCACAAGAGGGTATCATGAGATGAAGCCCTGGGCACTGCCCTTTAGGCTGTGGGCTTAGTTTGCACGTCAATGCTACGATGTGTCCTGTCCCCACCTCAGGCATTTGCCACCAGTATAGCAGAGATTGTGGTTAACATCCAGGTCAGCACAGGACAGTGGGTCTCCATGGGAAGTGATTTTGTTTTTTGCCCCTTCTGGGGATGATTGGCAAAACCTGGAAACATTTTTGATTGTCACAGCTGGAGAGAAGGTGCTGCAGGCATCTGGTGGATGGAGGCCACTCAACATCCTACAGTGCACGGGATGGCCCCTTTCAACAATGAATTATCTGACTCCAAGTGTCAGCAGAGCTGAGGGTGAGAAATGCTGGTACAGCGATAGGGTTGAACCAACAAGTTGACACCCAAGAAGAACAAGTGTAACATCTTCTTTAGGTTAGAAGAAAATCAACTGTACAAGAACAGGAGAGCAGGGTGAACTGAAATGAAGGTGGAAGGAAAGATTTGGCGACTTCAGTTCAGCAATTCTTCACCTGGGATGTACCTGGAGGAGGCACAGCTTATGCATCACGAGAGGGAGAAGAACATCCCTGTGCCTTGGTCAGCTTCTGACACCTTCTTCAGAAAGGTCTGCCTCTGAATTGGACCAGATCATTGGCAGCCTGGATATCCAGGTTCATTTTGTAGATTATTATTGTACATTTAAAGAGATACTTAAAAATACATCTTTTGCAGGGTGCTGTGGTGCATGCCTGCAATCTTAGTGGCTTAGGAGGCTGAGTCAGGAGCATTGCAAGTTCAAAGCCAGCCTCAGCAACTAAATGAGGCCTTAAGCAACTTAGTGAGACTCTGTCTCAAAATAAAAAATAAATAGGGCTGGGGATGTGGCTCAGTGGTTAAGTGCCCCTGGGTTAATCCCTGGTACAATAAATAAAATAGAAATACATCTTTTGGGGACTGGGGGTGTAGCTCAGTGGTAGAGTACCTATCATGTGCCAGACCTTGGGTTTAATCTTTAACACTGAAAAGAACAAAACAAAACAAAACAAAACCCTTGATCCAGTTTATTTGGTTTTCATGGGGAAAGCCATTCAGAAAATCTAGTCCATTCCATTACTGGAAACAACTCGGCTATCTCCAGGAAAAGCTGAAACTGGTGATTTTACCTAGGAAAGGTCTGGGTGGGAATGAGGATGTTAGCATTTGGAGAAGGTGAGGTCTTGGGCCTCAACAGGAGCTGAAGCAAAGGGCACAGGCTAGAGGAGCCTGGCTGTCAGCCTCCCAGAGCTCCTTAGCTGGTGGTGAGGGACTTGGTGGCTTCTTCATCTCTGGAGATGATCAATCAAAGTGTTGGGGTCTGTGGTGGGTTAGGTGGGGAACTAGAACAGAGAACCTGGTCATCATGACAACCACAAGTTTGCGTTTTGGCTGGTTCCTCAACCAAGTGTGGGGGGTCTCTGTCCCTAGGCCCCTAGCTGTGTGCTGGGCATCATTCGGCTGTCACTGATCCCAATTCTTGTGATGAGTGCCAGGGTGATGAAAAAACTGCACTGAACCTTGTGCTCATCGTGGTTGTACCTTTTCTGGATCTGCAGGTGCTGCTGAGCTGGTCCTGCAGTGGGAGGTAGGCACTACTGGATACAGGTTCTCAAGGCTCTTCTCCAGGTGTCGGCCCAGGCATGAGCTGAAACTTCAAGGGATGGAAGCCTCCCCCTGCACTGGCCCTGCTGGGGTTTCCTAGGTGAGAGGACAGTTGGAAAAGCAGGCAGCAGGCCATGGGGAGATGACAGCGGAGATGACAGTTAAGGCTTCCTCTTCCCAGCTAGAGCCTCTGCCTAGATCCATCAAATGATGTTTCTGGAGGGTCTCCTGCATGTGGCCAATCAGCCTCAACTCCTGCCCTGTCCTGGAGGTCCTTATAATCTGAGCCAACCTGCTGCCTCCTACACACTTATGAAAAAGTGGACTGGGGCAGGGTGGGGGCAGAATACCTTGAGGACGTGTAGAGAAAGGACAGCTTCCCTTGGAATGGTGTGTGTGGGTTGCTGCAGGCAGAGGTGCCTGCCCATTTCCCATGTTCTCAAGGAGGTTACGTGGATGGGTCTCAAACTTTTATGAGAACAGATTATTTATTTATTTATTTATTTTGGTGGTGCTGGGGATTGAACCCAGGGCCTTGTGCATGCAAGGTAAGTACTCTACCAACTGAGCCATATCACCAGCCCAAGAACAGATTTTTTTTTTCTTTTGGGTGAGCAAATGGAATGCTTTGGTTCTTAACACAAAATGGTTTTATTTTTTACAGTCACCACTTTACCATCTTCTGTTGACTCCTTGCTGGACCCTTAAGGACGTTTTGGGTGAATTCCATAATTCTGTGAACATATCCCACCATTAAGTCATCTACATGGAAGCTTCAGTCTCTGAGGAAGGCAAGTCCCAGGGAATTGGGTGTTAGGATTGTCTGCCTCCTGAACCTTTTCTTTCTTTCCTTGTGGTCCAGATCCTCCGGGATTGGGGATCTGGGAGGGTGGTGGACACATCTTGGAGGACAGGAAGGGAAGGCAGAAATTCTCAAGAGCTTCCCCAAGATGAAGTACCCTAACAGCCTCTCCCATTCCTTGCAGTCTCAAATGGACCTGGGAGCTCTCCAGAAGCAGGCCCATTTTGCAGCTTCATGCTCCTATGGTTGGCAGTTTTCTAAAGCATGTTCCAATGTCAGTTGTGGCTCTGGTCACCAATCCCAGGGAAGGGAAAAGTCCAGGCAATTTCTTGCTACACCAATTGACTTGCTTACCACCCATCCCACAGATAATGATCTGCACATAAACATTTAGATGCCTTATTATTCTAACTCTCAGAATATCTTTGCAATTGAGATGTTTTAAAGTAATATATATAAAGTAATACTTACGGCTTTCAAAGCCTAAGGAAATAATCAAAGTTATTTTTCAAGCTGGGCACAGTGGCGCATGCCTGTAATCCCAGTGGCTCAGGAGGCTGAGGCAGGAGGATAGCAGATTCAAAGCCAGTCTCAGTAAAAGCAAGGCACTAAGCAATTCAGTGAGATCCTGTCTCTAAAATACAAAATAGGGTTGGTGATGTGGCTCAGTGGTCAAGCCAGAGTTCAATCTCCAGTACCAAAAAAAAAAAAAAAAAAAGTTACTTGAATATAAAATAACTTAGAATTATCTTAAGCTTTTAAAGGAGTACTTGGTGCTTTGTTCTTTATTCCCTTTCTAGGAACCCAGACACTTTGCTAGGCCAGAGCTAAGTGGAAACCTTCATCATTTCACCGATGTTGACTTCGAGTTGGCAATGTGGGACTTCCTTTGGTCTGACTTCTTCTCATTCTTGTTTTTTTTTTTTTTTTTTTTAAACTTCATTGTATAAAATCTTTTATGTAACCTGCTTCATTTTTTTTAAAGTTTAAAATGCCTGATTTTTTTTTGGAGATAATAAAAAATGTTCTAAAATTAGTATGGTGATTGTTGTACAATTTTGTAAATACAGTAAAAACCATTGAATGGTACACTTCAAACGAATTAACGGTATGTAAATTATATCGATAAAACTTAAAAACAAACAAGGTTATTGGGGATGGTGGACTAGGAGGGATGCAGCAGTCATTCTGATGACCCGGGACGGATTTTGGCCACTACACAAAGGCAGAGCGCCCCCCCTGGGGAAGACCTTAGGATCCCTGCTCCAATGTTGCAAGGCTGCTGGACCCTGGGGTTTGAATCTAGTGGCTCAGTCGGCCGGCCATTGCTGATTGGACTGCGGAAGGACATGTGACCATGACAGGGGGGGACGGGGACGGCGGATACTGGCTGCGCTTTGCTAAGACCCCACTGCCCGCCCTGTCAGCGGCGAGTGAAACCGTGTTTGCCCAGGCCACGTGGCGGGGTCTTGCTGTGCCGGGCTTGGAGGTTTCGAGACCTAGCTGGTCCTGGCATCCTCCCTGGTCCTGACATCCTCCCGTCTCAGCAGGCGGGCAGGGCACCTGTACTCGGTGGACCTGCAGGAGTGTTGGGGCAGGTGTGGACAAAGGGAAACTGAGGCCAGGAACTCACACGTGGCAAACAACTTAACCCAGGTCATCACACTGATAGCACACCACGAACTTTCCTTGTGGCGAAACGGCTTCTGAACAGACATGTACCTTAAGACCGCGGTAGAGAATCCTATAATAGTGTGATAGGATCCCTTAATTTTTTTTGGTGGTGCTGGGGATTGAACCCAGGGCCTTGTGCATGCTAGGCGAGCACTCTACCAACTGAGCTATATCCCCAGCCGGATCCCTTTTGTGAGTTAATTTTTTCTTTATTTTTTGGTCTAAAAAGGGGGTGATGTGGACGTTGGGAAAGGAGGGGCTCTGTGCTAGAACACTTGCGCTTTGTGTTTGAGGCCCTGGGTTCAATCGAGGCCCTGGGTTCAATCCTTGGCACAGTTTTCTGCTTTCTGCACCCATTTCAGGAAATTCTCGTAAATTATAGATTGATTTCTTTGGCTTAAACATTGGTATCTCTAAAAATAGCTCTGGTAAGGATACTTAAGGTGTGAGTTAAAATATTCAGGCAAGGGGAGAAGACCAGTAGGAGAGAGAGCAGAGCCAGGTGGCCTTGGGCCCGTCCACATCTCCATGTTTTAACCTTCACAGCCTGAATGAGCGGATGCAGGCTAACATCCTTCCAGCTTTAAAGTTTTTTTGTTTTTTCTTTTTTGTGGTACTAGGGAACCCAGGGCCTAGTGCATGCAAAGTAAGCACTACCAACTGAACTATATCCTCAGCCCTAAAGTTTGTTTTTCAATTGGGCATCACTTTTTTTGAGTTAAACTTTTTAAAGAAATTCTAATTAGTTATACATGACAACAGAATGCACTTTGACACATCATACATAAATAGAGTGTGATTTCTCATTTTTCTGGTTGTATATGATGTAGAATCCCACCAGTCATGTAATCATATATGCACATAGGGTAGTAATGTCATATTCATTCTACTCTTCTTCCTACCCCCTTCCCTCCTGTTACACTCCTCTACCCAATTGAAAGTAGCTCTATTTTTCCCTAGGCTCCCCCTCGTCATTGTGAATTAGCATCCTGATATCAGAGAAAACATTTAGCCTTGGTTTTTTGGGATTGCCCTTTTTTGCTTAGCAGAATATTCTTCAGCTCCATCCATTTACTGGCAAATGCCATCATTTCATTATTCTCCTTAGCTTTAGAGTTGTCTTCTAGAAAAGGACACAAGAAAGTAGTAAGGCTGTTTAGGTCTTAGACCTAACTGACCATTACACAATCCAACAACTTTGCCCAGTGCTACTCATCATTAACCAATCTTATTTGGGCCTTGGGGTTTTTAAAGACCAACATAAGGTAACATTCAGGCATCAACATTTTTTACCTTTCACCCCTGGTAGGATAGCACCTGGCCAGTTTATTGAAGTTGGGGTGTAGCTCTGTAGTGGAGTGCACGCCTGGCATGCCCAAGATCCTGGATTCCATCTCAGCAGTCAAAAAACAAATAAACAAACATTATTTTTACATCAAATTATTTAATGATTACCAAGAGTGGATTTTTGTGGAGGTCTTGAGTAATGGAAATGTGTGGGAATATAAGTTTTAGGCTCCCTGAATTTTCTGATTAAGGAACCATCAGTAAACTAGTTTACTCATCCATGTGTTGAGCTCCTGCTACATTCAAGTCTGTGTATATGTGTGTTGGTACTGGGGAATGAACCCAGACGTGCTCTGCCACTGAGCTATTACCTCAGCCTTTAAAAAAAAAAAAAAATATATATATATATATATATATATATATTATTTTTATGTGGTGCTGAGGATTGAACCCAGGGCCTCCCATGTTCTAGGCAAGCACTCTACTGCTGAGCCACAACCTCAGCCCCTATTACCCCAGCCTTTTAATTTTGTATTTTGAGACAGGGTTTCACTAAGTTGTGGAGGCTGGCCTTGAAGTTGCAATCCTCCCATCTCAATCTCCTAAATTGCTGGGATTATAGGTGTGTGCCTGCCACCATAACTGCTGTGTGTGTGTGTGTGGGGGGCGGGGGATGGGGGAGATACAGATATGAAAAGGCCTAGCTCATAAGCCGCTGCTATGGGCTGGGTTGTGGCTCAGTGGCAGAGCACTTGCCTTGTACATGTGAGGCACTGGATTTGATCCTCAGAAACACATTAAAAAAAAAAAAGATACTGTGTCCATGTATAACTAAAAATATATTAAAAAAGAAAAAAGAAGAAGCAACAGGAGCAGCAGCTGCTGTGGGTTTGGCAAGCCTTGGGCAAGGACCGTGGCACAACCCTAGGACTGTCCCAGAACACACTGACCTTGGGAGGGGCTGCACCTGGGCTGAGCTCAAGATATACCTGGAGGCTTACTTAGAATCCTGATGTGCAGTTTGTTTTCTGTGATCTGCCTGAGTGATTGGCACAAAGAGTAGAGCTGCCAGGGCCAGACACCTGAGGTTATGATTCCAGTCCTCCATTTGCTAGTTGTGCACTTGGGGATGATTCCGAGTGTGAATTCCCACATCTGCAAGATGGAATCTCTCTCCTTACAGGATTTTGTAAAGGATTAGAAATAAGGAGATAAAACATTTTGCATAGTAAAAGGAAGAGCAGCCATTTAGTAATGGGAAGCTATAACTGTTAGTTTGTGAATAAATTCAGAAGAATTTTTAGTTGAGACAGTTAATTTAAATTTTAACACCTTTTTTTTTTTTTGGTGCTGGGGAATGGAATCTTGCACATGCTAGGCACTCTACCCTCTACCACTGAGCTACATCCTTATCCCTGTTAACAGTTTTACTTGCAAGTACATTAAAATGGGGCAGGGGGTTTCTTAGCTTTTTCTCCCAATATTAGTTAAGTATTTTAAAAATATAGCTGAGTGTTGGAGAGAGATATTGGCCAAATTATATTGTTATATTGTGTGCACGTATGAATATGTAACAAATCCCACCATTACGTACAACTATAATGCACCAATAAAGAAAAAGTGAAAAGAAAAAGAAATATAAACGAATGCTCTTATATCCTCTGCTTTCATCCATCACAGACCATAAGAAAAGCATATCAAGTGGCACAGTGCTGGAACCAGATTGCCTCACACATGCTAGGCAAGCGCTCTACCACTGAGCTATAACCCCAGCCCTCAATTTGTTCTGATGAGTTTTGGTACTAACACCAAAGGGTCCACCATGAGCCTGATCCATTCTGCCATGCTAGCAGCTGAGGCTTCAGGGGTCTTACAAAGGAAGAGCACTCTGCTGGGCCTGAGTGAGGCCCAGGGTCACTGCAGCCTGAGCTCTTCTCAGCATGGTATCCTTCCTCTTTCATTCATTCAAGATTGGATGACTCCAGTGGTCACCACCATCACCTGTGCTTGCAGATCTGTGCTTGCAGCCTGAGTGATGACTTAACTCACAGGGCCCTGAAGGAGATACGAGGCAATAGAATTCTTTCTTCTGTGGCACCCTGTCCAGATGTCCCCTCATCTCCCTGGTCCCCTCATCTCCCTGGGTGGCAGCAATTTGCTCATACGGATGTCTCCTTGTCTTGTTTTATGGCCAATGAAATGCTTCATTCACCTGGCACGAGCTAGGCATTTATGTCAAGCAAACTGACCCTCAGACTAGATCTGATCTCTAGATGGGCTTTATTTTACCTGAAGAGCATGTAAAGTATTTTTGATTGTTGATGAAATCAAGAGATTTCATATAAAAACCTGGGTTCCTTAGATTCTCTGGAAAATTTTGAAGATGTGGCAGCAGGGCCCACCTTCCTGTGAAGGGAAGATCTGCCAGCACTTAGGAGAGTCTGCCGCTCTAGATAGATGCTTTCAGGCTGGGATGAGGCTCAGTGGTACATTTTGCTTGCCTTGCATGCACAAAGCCCTGGGTTCAATGCCAGCACTGCTAAATGAAACCAAAGATGGCTGCTCTCCACTCTGCCTGTGTCATCACTCCTTTGCCATCTGAACTGCTGCTGTTGCATCCATTGCACTTACCTACTTACCTGATTGCCCGAGCAGCTCAGTTTGTAGCATCTGTAGGTGACTTAGGCACTAATGGAAGAGGAGGTCTCCTTCAGATCCACCAAAGACAGTTTTAACAATGCTTGTGACAAAAGCAGTGCCTGGCTCAGGCCGAAGAGGAAGGTGTATTGGTAACCTTGCTGTTCCCTGGGTGGCTGCAATCACTCCTCCTTCTGGTCCATCCTCTCTGGTGAAAATAGGTGGCACTATGCCATTTGTGCAAGAAGGTGATGAGGAGGGTACTTGGCTTTACTGAACCACTGTCAGGCTTCAAGGAAAATACTTCTTGACCTTCCCATTTAATTATTCTAATCATTATCACCAGGAAACTGACCAAGACATTCAATAGCAAAAAGAGGGATGGCAGGACAGGGCATTCCAGACTGAGGTACCGTGAGTTCAGTCAGGGAGGTGTAGAGACTTGGGCCTGAGCTGGGGATGGGGCAGGACACACAACTGGAAAGGCAGCAATTGCCAAATTAAGTTAGTCAACTGTGTGAGAAACGGAGTAGGAAGGATGGAAGAAAATAATTCATGACTTGGAGCTTCTGCTGGGGAAAGATAATCCACTCAGGTATTAGAGCTCATGGTGAGAGAGCCTCCCAAGATGGAGGTTTGGTTTTTAACGTGGATATCAAATTAACCCCTAAAAATAAAAAGAACTCCAGAATAAAGACTTTCAAACCATCTTTAGTATTTTTCAAACTAGATTTTTCTTCCAGAACATCATTATATAGAAAACACATTAAATGAAATGGAGCTGAGCTAGGGCTGGGGATGGCAGAAGCCCCTGATCCAGCCTTGACCACCTCCTGGAACTCTAGTGCCATGTAGAACAAAGACCACTGACTCTGAGTACAAGCACCTTTTGAGAAGCATAAGCCAAGTCTTTTGCCCAAGAGGTCAAGGGCTCCTAGAGAGATGAACAGTTCCACTTCCTGTTGCCACATTTTTAACTATTTATTGAATGAGGCAGTATAGACAGAATGGAAAACAACACAGAATCCATGCTCTGCTACTGGGGTTTTGCTTTTTTCTTCTTGGCAATTTTTCAAACTATTAGGAAGTTATCTCACCACAAAGGTACACGGACTTTAAAGCCCCTGGACAGCTTCACAATGATGATAAAAAATAATAATTAAAAAAATAACAAATTAGAACTAGGACCGTTCATATGTAAATTTCCCTTCCCTCCCTCCCACCCATTACGTACAGAAAAGAACATACAAAGAACATTGGATAGTTTTATATAAAACAAGCAAATACAAGAATCTGAAACTTTTCTCAAAGGCTGAGCAAGACATGAAGAATCTTTTAATGTTGCTTTAAAAAAAAACATTAAATACACTATCACACATGGGGGGACATGGGAGGGGGAAGGAAGAGTTGTCCCTATACTCAAGGAGCAGGGATTTGGCCTGTCAAAAAGTCAGGTGAATGTAGCCACAGGAGACTCAGGGCTTGCAGCTAGGGAAGCACAGAATTTAACTGACAAATAACATCCAGACCAATCCACACTTGTGAGCAGGAGGGCCACACAGGGCCTGGGCCACTAGGATGCAGCTGGGAAAATGGGCCTCTTAGAACCACTCCCAGAGCAGGGCCAGATCCAGGTATGAAGACCCTTTCTCTTCTGACACATCCCATTGTGATGGCCACCCTTCCTGAGCCAGGTGTCCCTTTTCATTGCAGAGAAATGACAACTAGAGGAAAAGAAATGGCTCCCATTGGTGTACCCTGGTCTATGAAGACTTTATCCCTTCCTCCTTTCCCTTCTAGCTCCTCCACCTCTTCCCATTCTCTCCCCTACCATGCACGCGCACACCCACAAGCACGCTTAGCACGCACTCCTCAGACCCTTAATACTTCTGTTACCTTCAGTTCATATACATGACCAATTCAGGACTGACCGTAAGACCAAAGCAACTCTTTAATGGTCATAAGATCAAGGAGGATTCCTGGGATATGGAGGAGATGGGAAGCTGAGAAAAACCCTTATGTCCCTGGTGGGAGCTTCAGGACATTCACCTGCCTGTGGCAAGGTCAGCACCTGGGCCAGCCCGAGGAGTGTCTCAGCTGGCGGACCATGAGATCCCTGGACCTTGCAAGTACTTTCTGGATCCCACTGCATCTTGGAACCTCCTTCCTCAAGTGAGTCCAGCAGGGAAGTTCTGAGCGGCCACTGGGAGGCAGCTTTGGTGAAGGGCATGGTCACCTCTGCCTGAGTTTGTCAGTAGCTCAACGAATAACCCTGGTATGAACAAAAACCAGGTGACTGTATCTGGCCACGTACCCTACCACCCACTAAACTGGGTGGATAATTGTTTCCACAGCTCACCTTGATTTCATACAGATAATTCCATGCGGGTTTCATACATATATATACATATATATGTATGTATATATATACTTTATATATATATATGTAAATGTGTATGTCCATATGTACACATATACATATATTCACACTCACACATACACACACATAAGTATACACACGTTTCCGCAGAAAGAAGTCCTGCCATAATTTGGCTTTTTTGGGACAGTGAAATTGACAATGCAGTTTCTTACTCCACCAATCCCAGAAAATCAAGAGTGGTGCTTTAAAAAAATGCAATTCCAAAATCTGCTGCCTTTCTTCCTTTTTAAAAAAAAAAGGTTAACAAAACTTTTCTTCCAAAGTCGTGAGACTTAATTCCATTTGATTGCACCTCTGCAAACGTGTAAAAAATTTTGAAGTAGACTAGAAAATGATGCCATGATACGGCTGCATGTCACTGTTCCAATGTCACCACCTCCACAGCCTGGCCGTCCATGGTGACTGTGCTGTCCGATATCCTGGTGGTCACAGGTGCCATGGCCACCTGCACTGGTCCGTTGCCCTGGGCGAGGCTGGTTACCACAGTCTGGTACATACTCACAGGGATCTGGACCAGGCCTGGAGAGACAAAGGCAAAACCATTGGTGGGACTCATGCTCAGGTTCCCAGACGCTGGCCGGATGGGTGGGCAACGGACGCTAATCCTCCAGAGTGTCACTGTCTGATAGCTTCAGGTAATCACCCAACTTTCAGGCACAGATAATCTCTTTTCTCACTCCACTTTAATTTTCCAAAACAGACTCTCTGGAAAGAAAAGTCTGGAGAAATTGTGGAAACATGCCTCAGGGCGGGGCCTCTACAACTTGCCCTGAGAACTGTGTCTGCCTCCATCTTTAGGAAGGATAGGCCCATCAGGTGTACATCCTCCCCACTTGCTGGCCCTCTCCTCCCATTACCACCTTCTTCTGGGAACAGGCCACCGTTACTCTTCTTTGATATTCTGCTATACTACCTGTCTAATACACCACTTTTCCTGCCTGATCTCAAGTTTCTCTGAGCTTGGTAAGAAAAAACAAACAAATAAACAAACAAACACAAAAAAAAACTTTTCCCTCTCCTATGTCATCTGGCCTCTGTCCCATCTATGTCCCTCCCTTCAAAGTCACCTTCAAAGTCAAGTATATATGTATGAATGTATGTATGTATATGTGTGTATGTATATGTGTGTATGAATATATATATATATATATATATATATGCTTTATTTTACTTATCTGTCTGTATGTTTAGTGGTACTGGAGTGGACCCAGGGCTATAACAAACATTCTACCACTGAGCTACAACCCCAGCCTCTGCTGCGGAGTTTTAGATTTCACAGACCAATAAAATTTTAATATACATTTGGGGTCAACTCAACCAAAAACCAAACAAACAAAAAACCCCAAACCTCAACTATCATCCTATTACTTAGAGCTGAGAGAACAGTTTATAAAGAAAGTAGTGCCCAGTGACTCAGGAGGCTGAGGTAGGAGCATTGAAAGTTCAAGGCCAAGCTCAGCAACTTATTAGCACTTGGAGACTGTGTCTCAAAAAAAAAAAAAAGGGGGGTGGGTGGGCGGGGCTGAGGATTAAGCTCAGTGGTAAAATGCCTCTGAGTTTAATCCCTACTACCAAAAAAAAAAAAAAAAAAAAAAAAAGACAAAAAACAAGAAAGCAGCATGCAATGTCAGAGAAGAGTAGTCCATTCCAGTTAACTAAGGCTGAGTACGTGCAGAGGCAGACCTTTTCTTCCTTCTGAAACTAGAAGTACAGTAAATGGGGTAAGCATATAAGAGGGATATTAACATAGTTTTCAAGATGCAGGGCATATATAAAGTTGTTCTGATTTCTTTTTGAAAGTAGAAGTTGCAACCTCTTTGGGATGAACTCATGACCTGGAGGCAGGCTCCTGCAGAAAGGGTGGAGGAGGCTAAAAACAGGAACTGGTGTAAAGTTTGTATCTGACTGACTGGACCAGTAAGTACCCCTAACTCTTTTTTAAAAAAAAAAAAATATTTATTTATTTTAGTTTTCGGTGGACACAACATCTTTGTTGGTATGTGGTGCTGAGGATTGAACCCGGGCCGCACGCATGCCAGGTGAGCGCGCTACCGCTTGAGCCACATCCCCAGCCCCGTACCCCTAACTCTAAAGCTCAGGCCTTTGTGACAGGACATTTGAGGTTCAACCACTGTCTTGAGGAACTGACCTGGGAGGCCCCAAGAAAAGACCTACAGTTACATTTGGTGGGTGGAGGTAGGTCTGCTGTCCTATTACTAACCCTAAGTCCTGTAGTTCATCTCATTTTTTCCCTGCACATCACAACAAATGGCATTTCCGTGTGTCACTCTTAAGGGACACAGAAGTATACAGGAATAGCAGAGAAATGTGGGGAGCAGGAGAAAGCAAAACATGCCCTCAAACTCTACTTCAGAGATAAGAGATCTGTATCATAAAAAAAATAGGATGCTAGAGATTGAGGTATAGCTCAGTAGTAGAGTTCTTGCCTAGCACATGCAAAGCCCTGGGTTCAATCTCAGCACTCAAAAGAAAGAAAGGAAAAAAAAAAAAAGATGCTATGAAAAATGAATAGGAAAAAAAATTGAATTAAAAAAATCAAACAGATCTTCAAAAGAAGGTAAAGAAATAAGTTAAGGAAATCTTACAGAGAGTAGAACAGATTAAAAGATGGAAAATAGGGGAGAAAACATGAGATCAAATTTCTGATAAAACAGAAAAAATAAAAAGGTAGGAAATTATTAGACACATAAGTAAATTTCTAGAACTGAACAAACAGCCAATTCACATTGAAAAGGCACTTGATGCAAAACACAATAGAATAAAAAAAAAAAAAAAGGTTCAAACACTAAGACACACCAGGGATAGTAAAGCTCCTAAAAGTTTCTAGAAAGGAAAAAAAAAAAAAGTCATATATGAAGAACTTGTGACTGGGAACATCGTAGACTTTTCAAGCTAAAAAATGATAGAGCAATGCCTCCAAGTGTCAAAAAGAAAATGTTCTCAGCCTAGAATTCTACATCCAGCACATGAAACAATACCCATATCAGTTAAGCATGGGGACAGAATAATAATGTCTTCAGATGCATAAGGACCGGAAAACCTGGCTATCCATGTACTTTCTTGGGAAGCTCTGAAGAATGTGCTCCATGCAAGTGAGAGAACTCAGAGGCAGTCACTGTGGAACTTAGGGGTCCATAGCAGAATGCAGAGGGGAGGAAGGGATGGGGCGAAGGGCCTGCAGGAACCTGGTGGGTACAGAGTGTTGTGGAGGATGGCGAAGATGGAGTGACCCTGGAAAGAATACCCAGGGGTTCACAGCAGACCTGGATACAACTGGTGATTACTGGTTAGAAAGAAAAAACCCTCCTCCTCCCCTCACCCCACCCCCATAATAAGCATTAACTTGAAGGAAAAATATAAGTTAAAGAAAAAGGGAAATGTAATCGTAATTATAGTACATTCATCTTGGCAATGAACAATTTTTATGTTATTATAGTATAGATACCAAGTCATCCAAAAATTATGAAAATGTCTCATCTAAAAAAATTATAAGACTATTTTTTAGAGTAGAGAGAATACATACCAGGAAAAAAAAACCCAAAATATTACCTCTGACCTACAGACCTTTTTTTTAGTCCTTTTTTGGGAGGTGTATGTCAATTTAAAATATAGTTTTAAAAAAAATTAAGTTGTAGGTGGACACATACTTTTATTTTATTTATTTATATGTGGTGCTGAGGATCGAACCCAGGGCCTCACATGTGCTAGGCAAGCACTCTACCACTAAGTCACAACTCTAGCCCCTAAAATATAGTTTTAAGATGATGCATCTTCCACTTACAATACAGTGCTTATAAGGTGTGATGGTATTTCTGTCCCCTGTGTACATTCCATTTTTCAATTTCTGAGAATGCCCAGGAATTTACTATACAGCAGCCAGCTGCTCAACTTTAAATCTGCCTCAGAATTCGCTACAAATTTGAGTCCTTTAGTGTTTTACTGTGCGGAACCCATGCTATACCAGTATACAGACAGTATAATGAATCTTTTTAATAGAAGGCCTAGGGAAACAATTGCTGGATAGAGGAGCTCCATCCACTACCAGGGAAATTATTTCTAGCACTTTTGACATTTAAACCATATGCTACTTTGATGAAAATGTTTTTCTTCTAGTTCTGGGTTACTTTACGCAGGGATACTCTACCACTGAGCCACATCCCCAGGTCCTTTTAAAATATTTTATTTAGAGACAAGTCTTGCTAAGTTGAGTAAGGCCTTGCTAAATTGCCTAGACTGGCCTTGAATTTGTAATCCCCCTGCCTCAGCCTCCCAAGCCACTGGTGTGCCATCGCACCTGGAATCTTTAAATTTGATTTTGAGACAAGGTCTTTCTTGCTAAGTTATCCATGCTGGCCTGGAGCTTGCAATCCTCCTGCTTCAGCCTCCCAAGGCTGGGATTATAGGCATGTACACTGTACCAGCTAAAATGAGTTTGACCAATCACCCTTTGAATTTACCCCTCCCAGTCAAATTCTCTTCCCATAACACATCACTCCCCCAATCTCAACCTTTCGAGCTCTATGTTGTTAATTAAATTCCCAAAGCCTAAAATATAGTTCAAATGTTTTGGCATGGTGTTAAAGCTGCTCAGAATTGCCTTGGTCTTTCTGTTGTTTTGAGACAGTCTCACTATGTTGCCCAGGCTGGTTTTGAACTTCTGAGCTCAAGTGATCCTTCTGTCTCAGCCTCCTGAGTGCTGGGACTACAGGTACGCTTGGAGAGTGTCCTTGTCCTTGGTCTATCTTCATTGTCTCTATTGTGTCATTTCCTATCCTCTCACAGGTATTCTGTGCTCACGGCATTTCCCAACCCCCGGCCTATTCTCAGTTCCACAATATGTTAGTTACACTCCTTTCTCTGGGTCTTTGCACAAGTTGTTCGCTCTATGGAATTCTTACTCTGACTCCTTTTCCTTTATTTACTATTTTTGCAGTGCTAGGGATCAAATCCAGGGCCTCATGCATGGTAGGCAAGCACTTTACTTCTGAGCTACACCCTCAGATTAAAACTCAGTCTAGTTGTCCTTCCTCTTGGAGGCCTGCCCCACTCCAGCCCATACTCCTAATGTCCTCCTCATTAGGTACCAGGACAGTATAGTGGACACTTATGGCATGTACATGGGTCTTTCCACCTGGGTCTGGTCAAGCCCAGGTCTGTCTCTGGTTTGTTCCACATTCCCCATAGTATGAAGTACATGTGTGCCACAAATTGGCAACAAGATAGCCTTGAGGGCAACAGACAAAGGGAGCCAACTGCTGGCTTCAACCAATATACAGCTAAGCCCTAGTCCCCAATCACATGGGCCTAAGTAAATGTTAGGACCACATGGCTCCTTGGTCTCCCACCTCATCCCAATATATCACTTTTAATATCATCATTTTTAAACTCTCCTCTGATCAAAACAGGCAGTTAGTGCAATGACCCCAAACACCTAGCAGCAAATCCAGGATATCTGTGTCATCTTCCAAAGAACTCAAATGCTAGCAAACAGCAACCAA